TCCTAAGAGTAACAAAGCTGGATATATCATACTTCTTGATTTCAAATATCAGAAAATTGTAAAATGATAGTAACCAAAACAACATTATATTCTCATATAAAGAGACATGTAAACCAATGAAACAGAACTCAGAAATAAACTTATGGATACATATCAATTATCTTTGAGCCACCAAAAAGATATGAGGAAAGGAGAATCTCTTCAATAAATGGTGTGAACTCATTACGTACTGCAAACATATACTAATAAAACTTTAAAATTTTTCTGACAAAAAATGGTGTTGGAAAACTGGATATCTACGTACAAAAGAATGAAATTGACTCAATGATGCTTTTTTTTGTGACTGAAGGGTGAAAAGAAACAGAGATAAAGTGACAATGTTGTAAAATTAGGTTAAGACTAATGTCATGGAGTCTACCAAAGGTCAGGGTAAGGAGTTTTGGTACTTTATTCAGAAAACATATGAAATTGGACCAGTCTACACTCCCACCAACAGTGCAGATCAGTGTGGAAATTCCTCAAAAAAAGTAAAACTAGAGGTTCCATTGGACCCAGCAATTCCCCTTCTTGGTATCCCCCAGAAAGAATTAAAAGCATCATGCCACAGCATTATATGCACATCCATGTTTATAGCAGCACAGTTTGTAATAGTTAAATTTTGGCAACAGCCCAAATACCCATCAACCAATGGATTAAATTTTTTTATACAATGGAGTACTACTCAGCCATAAAGGAAGATAAACTTGAGACATTTATAGCTAAATGGATGTACCTTGAGATGATACTCTTAAGTGAAATAAATTGGACACACGTGTGTAAATGCCACATTGCTTCTCTAGTGTGAGAAACTGAAAGTGTAAATGAGGAACAAAATGTGTAATTGTGAAACAGGAAGAAAATGTCCAAATGGATAGGGAAACTAGGGAGGGAGGTGGGGGAAAGGAAGGAAAGGAAAAAAATATGAGAAAAGGAAAAAATGGAAACAAAGCTTTTGTAAATAAGGAGGGGAAGAGGAGCTGAAGGAAGGGGAGGGAAATGGGAAGAAAAAGAATCAAGATATATCATGTACAGGTACAAATTCCCTATGATGAATGTGATCATAATGTACACTTAAAATGTACCAATAAATTTAATTAAAAAAAGAATATGAAATTGGAAATAGTAGAGTGGTAGAATTGCTTGCCAATGGCTAAATGATGCATTTGGTTCTAAAGTACAAAACAACAGCCTACCACATCCCACTATGAAAAATGCTTATACTTCATTTTAAAGAACACAGATACACATACTTCATATATAGTTTTCAAGGACTAAAGTTAAAAGAAAATATTTTGTAGTGAAGATGCTCAAAAGTTTATTTAAGCTCAATTTTTATGAAGTAGTCTTCATTTTCAAAGTACTTTATCCTAATATAGCTAATGTCAAAATCTATTTTTTCAAACATTGATAAAACTGGAAAAAAGTTTCCAAATTGGTGAAGAAAATGGATGCGTACTATGTGCATCTGATCAAATCAGTAACATTTACACACAAATGAATAAGGAGAGGGACTCATGATGGTAAAGCAAAGCAGCAATGTTATCAAGCAAAAATTGCAATTTTGAATTTTATGTTTTCTGTTAGTACAAATCAAAAGCCTATTCCTACTTGTGATAGTTAATTGATTACGTCAAGTTGAGTAAGAAATACCCAACTGGGGCTGGGGATTTAACTCAATGGTTTCGCCGCCTGCGCAAGCCCAAGGACCTGAGTTCGATCCCCGGTACCAAAATAAAAAATAAAAAAGAAAAGAAATACCCAACTAAATTGGCTCAGCATAGTTCTGGGTGTGGAAGACCCACTGTAGGGAGGATTGTCACCAGAATGCTATAAAAGGGTAATGAAGAAGGATTGCTTCTCTTTCTTTTCTTCCTTCTTCTCTTCGCTTTCACCTTGGACTTCAAGTCTGCTGGCTCTTGGCGCTGACTTTCCAGCCTTTAGCATGGATTCTTCAGCCTTTCCATTCCAGACCCTTTAGCCTCCTGATACAGACTCTCACGGGATACTACATGAAACTCTAGACCTTCAACTGGATCCTTTGGATCCCCAGGGTGCAGACTGACGTTTTGCACTCTTTACGCCCGAGTCTGTGGGCGGCCATCATGAGCCAATCTGTAAATTCTTATATATGTGTATATCTTGCATATTGTTTCTCTAGTGAGCACTGATACAGTACTTAAATTCAAATAGGGGGTAGTGAACACCCGATCTTTCTTCACCTGCTCCCTATACTCTTTCTTTAATAATTTCTCCTCCCTTGGGGGAATGAATGCCTTTCCTGATCAGTCAAGAATGTGACCCAATATGGGCAAAATAAAAAAATTCCAAAAATTTCTATAGTTTCCTGTTACTGGTTATAGTGAGGCAAGCTGAAAATGTCAATTGCTACTATCCACCATCCTTGATTCACTCACTGTCCCTCAGCCAAAGAGAAAATCTTCCTGGATAAGAAAACCAGTTGGGGGTGGGAGGATAAAGCTGGATGTGGGGGATGGCAAGATGACTTTCTGGTGTTTGGTAGTCATGCCCATACTTCCCTGAATATGAACCAATAAACTGCCCCTCCTGGCGACATTAGTTTACATTTTTATTGCTTGGAATGAAGGATAATTGGTTAATAATTAAAGGTGCATTAACAGGAGCTGGCTGAGTAGCTCAATGTTAGAGTACTTGCCTGGCCCAGAGTTCAAATCTCAGCACTGGTAAAAAAAAAAATTAATGTCTACCTGAAAATAAACTTAACACATTTTAATGCAATAGTATACAATTAAATAAAAGACTAACATCTTTGTGTAAAATTTAGTAGTATTAAATCAGGTAAAATACATGCGATAACATAAATTGGATGATATTAAATCAGGTGCAACACATAGCATATGCCAACTTAAAACAACTGGCATTATAGTTATGTGGTTAACATTTTTTGACACTCTGAAATCTGAATCCCACTATCTGCTACAGGGAAACAAACTGGCCAAACTGGCTCATCTATACTTTAGAATATCAAATATCTAATATAGTAATACTAAATTCTTATAATAGAAACAGGTACAAGTTTTATTTACTATATTGCTATCTATTGATCCCACATACAATAATTAATATTTATGAAAAGCCTAGAATCTCTTTGAAATCAATTTTAAAAATGAGGCCAGGTGGAGCTTTTCTCTTCTTAAAAGGTGATTCATGAACAAAATGCAGGATGTTGAACTTAACATGGGTGAAGGAGTTTGTTTGCACATTAGAATTTGTCAAGAATCCAAAAAGGGAGAGGGCCTCTCTGAAAAGAAACTTAGTTTCAGTACTACAAACTCTAGGGCTCCCAGTGAATTATTCTAACTTCACTCCCTCCAACATACCTACTTTCTAAAATATATATTTATTATAAATCCTATGTGAATGAATGTGCATATATATCAAATGAGCTGGTATTTACGTGAACTCTGCTAAATTCTTTAAGAAATAGCTCATAACTGAAAAGTTTAATAGAATTCTAGAAAACAGAAATGGCAAAGATGCATCAGATCATGAAGGACCTCCCCCTCTTTCATTTTCTTCTTGAGGAAAGTACAGGATTAATTCTTTTGGGTTTTGTCCAGTTTTCAATTTAAATTCTAGAAGGGATGGAACTCAACATTTTTCTTGGAAATGAGACTACATCATAACACATTTCACTTTTAGGAAATTCCTCTCCACCCTGATATTCAGATCATATGTTCTTTTTGTGTACTTTATCCCACTTTCCCTAACAACTCTATGACACATTTGATTCAATTCATCCTATCTCTCGCCTGTTTCAAGAAGACTTTTCACTTTTGGATTAAATCTGAATCCCCTGAAATCCAATTTAATTGTCTATCTAGTAATATTATAAACCAAATAATTCTACATAAATTCTTCCTATACCAGATTTCTGAACTTGCTTCACAATATAAATATATTTCTCAGATTGTAGGGCCTTTTAACTTTCTATGAATCAATTTCCACTGCTTGCTTGCTTGCTTGCTTGCTTCCTTCCTTCCTCCCTCCCTCCCTCTCTCTCTCATTCAGGGGTTATTGGAGATTGAACCTGGGCCCTTCACAATAAGCTGCATCCCCTGGCCCTTTAAAAATTTTTTCTTTTGAGACAGAATCTTGCTAAATTCAGCCTCCAAACTTATGATCCTCTCCTGCCTCAACCTCCCACAGCAAAGGGTCACAGGCACGAGCCTCCATGCAGGCTCCATTGGTACTTTTACACAATGGTTTTTATTTTTCTTAAATTCTTTTATTGGTACATTTTAGGTAAACAATACATTTACATTTATCATTGGGTGTTTGTACCTGTACATGATGTATCTTGGTTATTTTTTCCCCATTCCCTGTGCACCCTTCACCCCCTCTACCCTTCCCTATTTACATAGACTGCTTCAATTATTTTTAATTTTCTCATAATTTTTCCTTTTCTTCCTTTCCTTTCCCCTCCTATCTAGAATATATAAAGAACTGAAAACAATCAGACCCCCCAAATTCAAAAACCCAATTCAAAAATGGGCATCTGAAATGAACAGACATTTTTCAGACAAAGAATTAAAAGCAGAAATAAATACATGAAAAAAATGTATACAGCGGTCTTTTAGTCACTGTTGTCTTTGGAGTCTCTTCTCCAGTTTCCATTCCAAGTTACTTTTGCATTTATGTTGTACAAACTTCTCCTGAGTTCATTTTATAACTGTTCGTATTTCCAATCTAAGTCTCTTTAATGCCTTTCGTTTTGTCTAGAATTTGTTCCAATTATAAACTAAAACTGAATTTCATTAATGTCCAATTTTATCATTTTTTGTTTGTTTGTTTGGTACTGGGAACTGAATTTGGGACCTTGGCTTGTGAGGCAGGTGTGGCACCACTGAGCTACATCCCTGGCTCTGCTTTTTTAACCATTGAGTACACAGATGCAATACAGATGCAGTCATCTTTTAATCTTTTATAGACATATTGCTGTTTCATAACTGTATAAATTCCAATAAAATTAGCAAACCGTGAGCTGCCATAAGGTATAAATTAAGCCATATATATGCACAAATACACACATACACATTTCAATAATACACTGATGAATTCCAAGTGTCTTCTTTTTTCCTTTAGTTACTGCTGGATATATCAAAATACTATACCAAACTGGTCATCACAATACCTCTGCTTGTGCAGTAATGAAAGTGGATTGGGAATAAAAAGAGGCACAGAATTCATAAGACATCTAATTGTGTGAACAAGAAGTGTCAAATCTGTTAACACAGATCGTTCAATGTACAGAGCTGCTGATTTTCTGAACTTAATATAAGAAACAGTAGTTAAGTACTGAGTCAGCAAGAAGACACTGTACTGGGAGTTTCCCAAGTGCAAAGACTGCCTTAAGAGGGATAAGTTACAAATAAATCCCAAAGACAGGAACAGGCAACTGATGGGAGGATCACTTCTCCTTGCCTAGATGGTACACAGCATGATGGTTCTCTTTAGTGAGGTTCCATTATAGAGACAGTCATCTTCAGGTTGGCTTGGTTTTTTTTTCATTAAGTTTATTGGTACCTTTTAGGTATACAATACAGTTACATTCATCATTGGGAATTTGTACCTTTACCCAATAGTTTCTCTGGTGCGAGAAACTAAAAGTGTAAATACGGATCAAAATGTTTAACTGATAATGTGAAATAGGAAGAAAGGCTTGGTTTTGATTCAAACCAACAAATAAAACATTTTCGGCCTACAGAATTAAGCACATTAAAGACTATGCTGAGGTGCAAAAAGGGTTTCACACTATAAAACGGGGGCCTCTGAAGTCAATTAATTCAAGAGTCTAGAAAATGTTGTTAAAAAAAGTTTATATTATTTAATTACTTTTCAGGCAAAACATTCTCACTGCCCACTGATAATAACCTAACCATCCAATAGTCCATCGATGTATAATCTTCTGCAACTGTCTGGGAATTTTCATCTTCTTTCAGAAGAAGTGCTCAATTTTTACTGCCAAGGTTCTTGGTAGGTTCACTTTTTACTGGAAAAAAAAAAATAAGTAAACATACAGTCAAATGTTTACACTGTTTCTATTTATCCTGTTCTGTTTTTCCTCCATCTCTTCTCCCTTCGGATGCATAGCAACAGCACTGCTCACAAGGAAAGACAAACCATGTCATGTGCCAGGCAGCTGGGAGATACAGTTTTGGCCATAATAAATAGAGAAATGATGTCTGAAAGTGGCAATTATATTTTGTGAGTTAACATCCTTCCTGACTCTGTGGAAGACTTGGGAATGGACACTCACAGTGTGGTTATGATTCTCTGCTCACACAACCGAATAGATCACTATTATCACATAGGCTGGCCATATGTGGTTGGAATCAATTTTTCCATGATTTTTTCTAAACTTAAAATTGAGGGTCTGTATATGCTGAATGAATGTGGGCTGACCCAAGACTAGCCAGCCAATGGGCATCTCCTTCCTTTAATAGGGAAAGACACAGAGCAGGAATGGAGCTCCTAGGAAGCTTCTGTCATGCCTAGGACAAACAAGACTAAGTTTAATTCACTCACTAAAGACATTTCCTTGAGGGCAGGACATGAACCTTTCCCCTCTATATCTAGCTCTGCAGAATCAATATAACTACAAGTCATTCTTTAAATGTTTTTTTTCAATCTGCAATGGGAACCGGAGTAAATATTCTATTCATTTCATTGTGCCATGAAGCTAAAAGGACATAACACATTAAAATGTTTTAAAAATCATTAAAGTTAAAATATATATTATTCTAAAAAAATGGAAATGATGTCTATGCAAATAGGGAAGGGTGGAGGGGTGAAGGGCGCACAGGTAATGGGGAAAAAATAAGAATCAAGATACATCATGTACAGGTACAAACACCTAATGATAAATGTAAACGTATTGGATACCTAAAATGTACCAATAAAAGAACTTAAGAATAAAAAAAAAATCTGCTTAAACTTTATGAAAGCTGATAGCAGAATCAAACTTAAGACTTTTGGCTTGTATTTCAACTCACACGTTCTTTGGGGTTTGCTTAGATTTTGGATTGTATCAGCAACTAAAATAGTCTTAACTGAATCTATTCTTTGAGTAAGGTACTAAAATAAGTTTCATCTAAGAGACAATCCCTGTCTTTGAGGAATTATATAAACTCTAGCAGAATTTTTTAAGGCTTCTGTGATATTATATTAGTTGTTTCCTCCTCTACCTCCCTTTGCACTTTATCTGAACTCTGTCCCAGTACCCACTGTACTATAAAGTCAGGTGCCTGATCCCTCTCCCTTACTCCATACATACGGAAAGGGAAAGGATGAAAAGAGGGGTAAGGAGGAAGGAGAGCAGAAGAGAGGGAACATAAATCTAAGGGTTTATTGGCCCAATGAAAGACAGATGTATGAGTAGCTGCTAAGCCAGGTATTTTCACTAATTCAAAGTAATCAATTTAGAGTTGGTGTCCTTCTCTAAAGGTGGCCGCATTTTCTAAACTTCACTTATATTAAAACATTAGAGAACACATTTTGCTGATTTTTTAAAATTAATAGGGCTGTAGAGCAATATAGGGAACATTTTCCCTTTTCTTTGTTTAGGTGCCTAATTTTCTTCTAATAGGGTTCTATTCTTTTATCTACAGACTGAAATGTGGCATGCTTTTATCAAGTTGTTTAAGTCTGTTAGTCTAACTTTGGCAAATGAGAGCCTGTGAAGGAAGCTATAGCATCCTGAGCACTTTCCACTGGGTTGATTCCAGGTAAGTAGAATAGAACTCTGCATCTCCAATCTAATGGGCTACCTTAGCTGCTTAACCTTTTATAGTTAGCCTTTTCCATTCCTAAGAAAGAAAGAAAAGGAAAAGTAAAAGAAAAGGAAAGAAAGGAAGAAAGAAAAAGATCTTGTCTACTGCCAACTAATACAGGCAGACTTCTGAAAAAATAAATTATGGCAATCTATAATCATAACAAACATTATGACAACCATCAAGTGTGGAAACTACTGAATCCCAGCCCAGAAACACATTTTTCCACAAACTAGAAAAGAGACACCTTGTACTATGAACTCAGGATCAAAATCCAACTTTTTTGCTTCCAGACTGGGAAAGAATTTCAAAGTTTTCCAAAGAAAATGCTTTGTTCTTTTACAATCCCCCTCCTCATTAAGGGACCACCCTGCAGGATGTCAGATGCTGTGGGATTGTAAAAAGATATAAGCACCTTGAAGTGCTTACAGAAAGAAATGCATGTATAGGAAGGCCTGGTATTATTGTTGAGGTGTATGTACTTATGATGTGACAACTCTGGTATGATCCTTAAATTCTGTTAGATCCTCCTCAGTTCTTTGGTATAGCAGCTCTAAACAATCCTTTGCATACTGAAAGCACAAGTCACCCGTGTTCCTGTAAATAGTTAAACACCACAAACTTGTCAGAAAAAGTGCAAATTTTACTTCAGACTTCAAGAACACTATCACATTAGTCTCACAGCTTCATTGAGTCTTACTTGAATGGGTATTCTAAAAAGGTGAAAGAGGAGCCATCTGTGCTGTGTTTATTTACATAGGCGATGTTTGCCTTGGCTAGCAACTCATATTACTGAACAACTTTCCCTGAAACCAACATCTAGAGAGTGTTATGTGACTTATATTAAAGAAAAAGTAAGGTTTTAGAGTTAAAAAATGTAAAACCAATCATTTAAAACCAAAATGACTAATTTCTTTTAGTTTAAAATTAAATTAGATATTCTCAAAATCAAGACTAAACACCAGATTCATAGGGTCATATTTTATTATTTAAAATTTCATATTTGATAATTAAAATCTAGCTTCAAGTCATAGCACAAACAAAATCTTAGTAATTTTGTAACAAATTTCTCATCCTAACTTGCCAAGGGAAAAAAGCTGTACACACATATAGAGAACATCTTACAACGTAGAATACTGCCTGTATGTCCTCTAATGCTAGTATAACAATAAAACCTGAACCAAGCATGTCAACATTATTTTAAAAAATAGAGATCAATCCAAAAATTCTAAGTTCCTAAGGTGTTTATTATGTTGAAGCTTAGCCTGTACCTGTATTTCTTAGCTGAAAATGGTTTTAAGAAATCTCCCTCATGTTTTAAAATAATTACTGAATTTTGTTCATCCTCCAGAATCTTGCATTCTAAAATGTGATTTGCTTGCTTTAATCATTAGCTGTAAATATGGCCCAGTCATTCTATACACCAAACCTTTGTGAATACATTTAATGCTTCTCCATAAGGCCAAGAAAACCAAATCAAGGACACAAAACTGGTGGTTTTCAAACAGGAAGACAAAGGGTCAATGCAATGGCACTAGCTTAGTCTAAATGGAGCCAAAATTTTACACATGTTCCTTCCAACATTATCCTTTAAAAATACTTTGTTTATCCCTCATTTAAGGAATCTTCCAAGAAAGAGTTTTAACTAGAGTAATTTATCTCACCATGGATAACTTGATTAACGCAAAAAGTGTTCTTTCATATTCAGAGACATTCAAATTTCATTCCTTTACATTTGGCATTATATGTTTACATGTTCTGAAGGAGGAGCAGCAGCTCATTCATTTGGTTCTATTGTTAATAGTAGCAACAGAGTAAATTCTCTAAAGTTTGTAAGTATACCGGGAAAATACAGTTTTAAAGAAAGAAAACTAGTCACACAATTCCTTCAGTTACTCTAGTTATTCTAAGCACTGCAGAAACAAATTTACACTTACCTTGGTGAAGAAGTATCTTGTCATTACTGGATTCTTTCAACACCACATGTAATGTTGGGTATTCAATGATCACTTTGTTCCTCAAATTGTCAAGGAGACTTTTATGAGGATCCAATTCATAATATCTTATTAATAAAAAAAGCAAAACAAAAACACCCTTAGTATTCCAAATTACTTATAAATAAAACAAATATGTATATCAGAGAGTCTCTTACATTAAAAGTATTTTAGTGATGACATTAATTCAGTAGTCATTTCCTTGTAAGTTTAATACTAAGAAAACCAAGTAAAAGAACTATTATTATATACATTCTAAAGTTAAATCAAGAGTATAGTAAGTATTTTGACATTAGGAAAGCTCTATAACAAGCCACCAATTTTCCTATCAAGTAAGGAATAAAGACTTTAATATAATATCCAGGTTTAATATGTCAAGAATTTTTTTACATAAAAGAATGACTATAAAAATTCAAATTCATCAAATATATTTTAAGCCTTACAAGGAAAACTGATGTTATAATAAATAATTTCTAATAATGTATGGCAGTAAAATTTATAACGGGCTACAAAATACTTTTGCAAAAAGTCAGCTCTAATTATAACTGGTTTCCAGAAATTTATATTGTCATACCATTAGATTTGGCTTTGCTTTATTTTGAAACTTAAAAAAACAGGTTTGGTTTTTGAATGAGGCAAAAGCACTCAACTGAGAAATATGGAGTTTATCAGTCATAGACTCATGATATAACTGTTATATGTCACAGATAATTAGGTACAAATATTCATTAAGGTATAAAATGTTCAAGTTGTTACTTAAGTTTGAGTTGACTAAAGATGGATCTGCATAATGTTCTCTTTTGCTTGCTTTTTGGGGAGGGGGGAGAGAAAAGGTTGGAATTTCAGCTAGCTCACTAGCAGTGGCATATGCAAATAGTTGGCATGTGAGTATCATTTGATGGCCAAGAAGAAACAGTTGAGAATATGTCCACTAGTGCAGTATAGTTTTCCAGCTTTTTTTTCATCTCTACCAAGGACAGATAATATTCATATGTAAAGCATCATCCTAAGAGTTGTAACTCCATCCTTCCCCTCCAGCTCAAGAAAACACAAAATAGTAATACACAAGGGTACTTTTGAATATGCTAGAAGAGTTAACCATTCACAAACTTGAATTTCTTTTTTTTTTGGTACCGGAGATCGAACTCGGGTCCTTGTGCTTATGCAGCAGGCGGTGAAAGCACTGAGCTAAATCCCCAGCCCATCTTGAATTTCTTAATAACTATTTGCACGCTAACTCACAGACAACCAAGACGCACATGCAGTATAGTTATTAAGAACTCCAGTGTTCTGATTTATCTGTGTTCTCAGTTTATCCTGCACAACAGTTATTAAATATAAACACAGAAGCACTTAACAAAATGCAAAGCTAAGCCTATTACAAAAATCGACTCATTTTTTAAAAGTAGGTGATAGGTGTGAGAACAACTGTAAACACCTAAAATGTTACATATGCTTCTCTGATCACTCACCCTACCCATGGAACTTAAATATTAGAACTGCAGAATATTATGCTGAAAAAAACCTTGAAATACAAAATTACTCAGTTTTCTAAATCAGCCACCTCAATGCCCATACACCATAGAATGCATACATCATTCTTTTCCCTGTGTAATATAGTACAGATGTGCTTAAAATACTTTAAAAGTGGTCACAGCATTCCAGGATTAAATGCTTCACAGATTTTAAACAGCATTTCCCTTTGAAGTAAGCAGTATTAAAAAACAGTAATGGGCCGAGGATTTAGGTCAGTGGTGCCACTGCCTGCCTCGAAAGCACAAGGTCCTGAGTTCGATCCCAGGTACCAAAAAAGAAAAAAGAAAAAAAGAAAAAAAAATAGTAATTACACAAAAGAGAAAAATGAGATTATATTAAATTCTCGAGTATTAACTTACAAAGTAATACACAAAATGGGAGTCAATTTTTCTTAGGAGGAAACAAGACTTGAATTCTCAAATGGGAACTTTTCAAGTAGGATCCTGCAAACACTTGCAGTAACTTATCTTCTGATTAAATGAAGCACAAGGCTTCTATTAGGAGACATATTTTAAGTAAGGGAGTATTTTCTACTTATTTTAGTTTTCAGTAAATAACTTCCAGTGTATACTTAATGTTTAGGTATTTTATGTCTTTTTGTAGTATTAAATCCGTATTGGGTTTCTCTAGATTATTCTTTTTTTTTTTTTTTTT